CCCTTGCATTCATTAAGAATGCAGAGTAACTTATTCTACCAGAGCCCACCAACTGCAAAACATCAGAACATACACCCATCATGATCACAAATATTTTTGTGTAAGTTCACCATGCAAATGAACATAGACTCAATTCAGTCTCAACTTTCTAATATAACATACTACAAAAAATAAATATTGTCCAAATTTTAAAGACATGATCACAAAGTCCTGCAAGATCTTCAAAATGGAGAAAATACACTGAACACTGGAAACTTTGAAGGAAACAACTTACTCAGAAATTAACATACTTTCCCAGTTAAGGTTCTACCAGGCTTCTGATACCATCTAAGAAACCAATTTTAAGCAAAGCCACCCTTAAAATATATATATATATATATATATATATTTAAGTACTGTTGAATACGGTGCCAATATTCTAATTTATAACTCTGGACAGGGAGGGTAGTTCAATACCAGTGTAACTCTGACTGAACAATCAAACCAAACTTTCCCATACCAATCTAAACAAAAAGCAAGATGAAATAGCCAAGATGGCATGTTTTCCTCCAAGGATGTCTATTTTATTAGTCTTGTGGGAAAAGTAGGTTTATAATGCAAACTCTGACACACCATTAACTAATGGTATAACAGGTGCCCCATAATACTAAGGGAAGAGCTTTACCGACAGGAAAGAAGAAAATTATGAGATTCATATGCCTCCTCCTCACTCCTGGCAAGTCCTAAAGATACAGGATATGATCAGTGTTTTGATGCCAAGTCAGTACTGAAACACAAATTATTGATAATTCTTTTTCCAACAAGTCTGTAGATAAATACATCAGGCAGATTATTTTTCAAGCAGGTAATCTCCAAATCTGAAACTTCCAAATTACAGTAAAATGCTATTTTGATTTCCAACTTTCTAAAACTCCAGTCATGAATAAACACCAAGGCTTGTCTGTCAAAAAGTTACTACGATTAAAATCTACTTACAGAAGATAGCCAAATGCAATAGGTGATCCTCAATTGGACAATTTTAGATAGAGCTGCTGTCATACTTTGCAACCAACTGAATTCCCAGTTATAGAAGGGATGAAAACTTACCAAGCTAGATGACAGGGGAAAAAAAGAAACCCTCCTTACAGAACTGTATGTACAGCATGGTCTCATTTTTTGATAAAACACACATATGCATAGACTGGAAATAATCTGGAAATGCAATTATCTGGAAAGTGATACAATGACGATCTCTGGGTGGTATGAATGTGTTATATTTGTTTCTCTTTATTTCTGGTTTTCAACAATATACATGTAACACCACTTTTGTAATACTTTAAGGGGTTCTTAAAGTTAAAAATCAGTATTTAGAAATGCCTACTGTAGGTGAGACACAAGGAGATCAACATTAAGTCCTTCAAAGTTTTTTTAACCTTCCCCCAAGCCTCTGGCCTAAGAAACAGTTTGCTTCTGAAATATAACATTTCCTTAAACTTCAAAGAGTTTTTTTTTGTTTTGTTATCGCTCTCATCTCACTCTCAGGCACACTTACTTTTTTCAGTTTTCCTTGTATGTCTGCTCTTTCAACACTGGTAATTTATATAAGCCTTAAACACTCATTTATAGGCTGAAAACCTGTCAAGTGACAAAGAACTAATAATGTTGTGTTTTTTTCCCTTTTAAATGGACATATATCTAGCTTTATCGATGTTAAAATCTCTGTGGCAACCCCCGCACCCTCCTAACTTTTCTTAAAAGGAAAAAACCTATGATCTTAAGATGGAATCAAGTTCAAGTACACTGCATGCCAGGCAACTCTCTGGCTTGTATATAGATGAAGATATGAGGAAACATAACACTTAAAACAGTTGAAAGTTGCATTTGCTCTAGACATAGAAATAAAAATGGTAGGTCAGGTCCACATATAAAATGTCATACACACACATAAAAATACATGAAAACTTAAGGACACCAATCAGAAAGCCATCTGATTTAAAAATTAAATGAGGCTGAAATCCTTGAAATAAAAAGGGCAATAAAAATTGAGTTGCAGGTATTTGCTACATAGTGCGACCCACAGAACACCCTATACATCTCTCCAATATGTGTTGCCTACTCTACTACAAATCACTGTACCCAAAATATTAAGTCAATGGTTACATTGAACGCTTCGTTTCTCTTACCTAGAGATGGATTAGCTGTGATTTGATCAAAAGGTGATTTCCTATAGTAATCTCTAATCATTGGTGGATCACTACCCAAAGCAGCTTTCAGGGAAATAATTTATCTGTATCTTAAAACTTGTTCATTAGTTGTGAAAGGTATTATCAGCCTTGAGCTTCAAGTAACTAGAGAGCTAGCCTTTCACTGATGGTCTTCTGAAAAGAAAAAATAGCTCACCTAATAAAAACCTTTGGGAAAGCAGCCCCTAGGCATGTCCATTAGTGGAAACCTCAGCTTCTCTTCCAGTCTCCTAAAAATGTAGCTGGCTTAAGTCGTTGAACTGCAGCTATCATTTTACAAAAAGAAAATTTTAATTCCCTCTTGGTTGGGGCAAACAGAGGGCGACAGACCCTCGCCCTCACTGCAGCGAGGTGGGGCGCCTGCCTCCGCATTACTAGAAAGCCAGCCAAAGCTGCTTTTAAACGGTCTTCGGGTGGCGACGCATTACTAACGGGTTTTGAAGGCATGTTTAAATCGCCCGCTTTTTTGTGTGCTCGTTGCATTCACGCGGCGCCAGGACTGCGGCCGCCCCCGCGAGCCCCGACCGGGAGAAGGGTGGGAAACCCGGCACCGGGGGTTGGGAGACAGGGGAGCATCCTGAGGGGAGGCGCTGAGAAGAGGCGGCCCGGGGTGAGGAGAAAAGGGTGGGTAGCCCATGTGGGAGGCCGCGGGAGTACATGGTGCGCGGGGGGAAGAGGGCTGCGGGGAGCTGGGCCGCCGCCCCGCACCGCGGAACGCTTGTCGCGGCTCCGCCGCCCGCTGGGGCGCGCGCAGGGCCGCGGCTCCGCACGGAGCCGACCCCTCCCTTCTCTCTCCCTCCGCCTCGCCCTCCTCCTCCCGAGACGACAGAAACAACAGCGCGGGAGGAGGGGAAAGTAACTCCCGGCACCTCCGCCGGAATAATCCTCGGTGCAGTGATGGCACCTTCTCGGGGCAAAACCAAGCCCGCCACCTCCGCAGCGGCGTCCCCTCCGCCGCCCTCTCCATTTGAAAGTGGCCATCCCCCGCCGCCCCTCCCGCCGCCGCCGCTCCCGCCCCGCCGCCGCCAGCTGCACCAATCCGCTCGGCCCCAGTTGCAAATCAAACGCTCCCTCGCGTCCAGAAGCTGCATGAGCTCCTGGAAAGGGCCGCGTCGTCCCCCTCCCTGAGTCCCTCCCTGGCGGCACCGTCGGGCTGGGGCTGGCGCGCCACGGAGAACGGTTGTGAAAAGGGAGCGGCGGCGGCGAGCAGCCCGGGGCGGGCTGGGCTCCCGCTCCCGCCCCCAGACAGTTCTGGAAACTGTGCATCACCTCTGCCACAGGAAGCCATCCGGCTGGGAAGGCGGCGCGGAACCAACAAACAAACGCCTGCGGCCGCCCGCCGGAATCGGCGCGAGGACGGCGACGGGCTTCGGTCCGTTCCCTGGGCGGGGGCGCTCCGGCCGCCCCCGCGCCGCGGGCTTTGTGCGGGGCCCCCGCGGGGCGGGCGGGGCGGGCCAAGCGTTACCCCCCGCTCCACAACCTCCCACCCCGGGCCCCCGCGGCGGTGCTGGGACCGTTAGGTGACGCTCCGGAGAAGGCAGTGCCTCGGTCGCCGCCCGCCCCCATCTCCACACGGAGCGGCCTCTCCTCCGCCAGAGGCGGGCTACAAAAGTTGGCCCCCGGGCCACCCAGCACCTGCCCACGTGCCACGGAGGTTCGTTCCCGGGTCTCCCCCGTTCCCTCCCCACCGCCGCCCTCAGCCGCCAGGTCACCTATTACCGGTGGGAGGGGAGAGAGGCCGCTATTTAAACGCCCGCGGAAGTTGAGGCACCCCCACCGGCGGGTGCAGTGCACCTGCCTCCCGTCGCCGCGCTCCGCCACTTTGAGCAGCAGCCAAGTCCTCGGCCCCGCCTCCTGCCTGCAGGCGGGTGGGGGTAGCGGGAAGGAGGTGGAAGGGATCGAATTTCTCCAGCAAATGGGACCGTTCCGACAGGATTCGGTTCCCCGGTCAACATTCCACATTCCATCCCTCTCCCGCATTTGCGAGCCAGCGCCAACAACCCGGAAAGCCTGCCGGCTACCGAACAACAGCGCCCAACTCGCGAACACACTCACAGGCGCAAGGCACGTGCAATGAGGGGCTCTGCAACTTGCAGTCCCGGGGTACACACTGCACGTTCATCTGAGGCAGCAAAGCCCAAGCGACCCCACCCTCACAATTTACAGATGGTGCCAAAGGTTGAAATTTGCAATCCGTTTTTTAAGTTTATGGTTAATTGGCATTTTACCAATGCAACTCCTTCCTAATTTCACCGATGAAGGGTTTTACACTTTACAGGCAGTCTCTGTTAAGTAAAAGGTCTGATCATTGGAAACCCAATTTGCAAGAATCTAATTGTCAAGCTGTCCCTGCTCACTGCCCTTGAATTGATGCAATGAATATTTTGGATGTGTGGTGACGCGAAGACTAGAGCCAGGGCCGCGGCCACCCTGCACAGATGTACCTATACACACACACCTCTGTTTCGATAAACATAGTCGTACCCCCGCCACCACGATCACACACTCTGGATGCATATATGTTCATGGACCTGCGTTCTGCCATCGCCATCTGTCTACCAAGTTGCTACTACGCTCTCCACTTTCATGCAGCTTAATGCACTTAGGCTTTTTTTTAATTCTATAAACTAAAACTAAACTAGGCTTATGTTCCTGAACGCCTTTAAATGACGATTCACCTGAAAACCGCATGTTCTTCACAAATTCGAAAGAAGAAAAAGCTCTAAGTCTTCAGCACCCCCCCCAAAAAAATTGAAAAATAATCGTAATGGAACTTACTGATCCAACACAGATCAATTCTCAGGATCGAAAAATCATCTCCTCCTGCTCCTCTGGCCCCCGCCCCAGCAATGCCCAAGTTACTGGTGGGATAGTAACGCGGCGCTCGGCGGCTGCCGGCCCTCCCTCCTCGCTACATATCGAGAACCCAATCTTTTGGCGCCATATTAATGACGTACTATATTATTTCCACTAGGCAGCGACCTTCGGCATTAAATTACTCCCGAGAACTCCCTAGCAAAGCAACAAAACCATCAAATATGGCTGAGCCTCTAGGCTCGTCCTGCAGCCGCCGCCGCCGCCGCCGCCGCCGCCGCCGCCGCGGGATCGGAACGCGCACTCGGACCCACACGCGGCCACGCGCGGCCACACGCGCGGCGCCCCCCCCCCACGCCCGGCGCTCCCCGCGCGGCCCGCGCGCGTACCTGCTGCGGAGAGGTTCGGCGGGGGCGTAGGGCTCCTCGGGGCTCGCTCCGCGCCGCATGAGTTCGGGCCGCGGCCGGCGGACGGTCGGGCGGGCGGGGAGCCGGGTGGGCCCCTGCTCTCGCCGGCGCGCACACAGCCGGCGCTCGCGCAGGGAGGCACTCTCAGACGGGCGTTTGGCTTGTTATGGAGGAAGGACTGTGTGAATCAAACTCATTTCTGGGTCACTGCTGCCACAGGGGGGAGCACTTTAATCCCTTGCCAAAAGGAGAGGGTGGGGACTGGCAAGGCGGAGGGAGCGCGCGGGGAGCCTCCGCGCGGGGGCTCCATCCCCGATTAACTCTTCGCGGCCCTCGCCGCAGCCTGTGGGCCTGCGTTCGCTGGGGTTTGCAAGGAAGGGCACTGTTCAGCTTTTAAAATCTCTTCGTTCACCTCCCTTGTGAGCCTAGAAATTATTGAGGTGTCCCCAAGCAAGGAGGTGGGTTTTTTAATTATCCCCTTCAAACTGTCCCAGTTATAACTTTTGCCTAACAGCAGCACACCTACAAATGGAGTCTTTCGAGTTAGTTTAAAATTACGTAGATAAAAATGTGGCTATTAAAGCAAGTAATTTGGGTGAGAGGTTTTATTTTTAGGCTGAATGGCAAAATAAATAGTTCTTTTGTAGTAACAGGGAGTTGAGAATTAGAATGACATTTCTAAATGCAGAGAATCCAATTTTGGAGCCAGAACATATCCTCACCTAAGTTTGTAAAGAACTAATAATTGCAAATAAGCATTAATTCATCAGAAGAGAGTGATTATTTATACACTGACACCATCTTTATGTTAACACAGTATTACAGAACTGAACATGGCCTTCCAAATAGAAGTGAGGCTGACACTAAAACTGGAGTTACAGACCAATATCAAAATTAGTCATCAGAGATTCATTTTGGCGGTATTTATGTGTAAAAATGAGTGGTTACTCCACAAAAGATCCCGAAGAGCCAAAGCAATCCAGCAATCCTGAGAAGGAAAAATAAAGCTGGAGGGATCTCGCTTCCCAACTTCAGCCTCTACTACAAAGCCACAATAATCAAGACAATTTGGTACTGGCACAAGAACAGACCCATAAATCAACAGAACAGACTAAAGAGCCCAGATATAAACCCAAGCATATATGGCAAATTAATATATGATATAGGAGCCATGGATATACAATGGGGAAATAACAGCCTCTTCAATAACTAGTGTTGACAAAACAACAGCTACATCTGAGAGAATGAAACGATTATGGTGTAACTCCATACACAAAAGTATACTTGAAATGGATCAAAGATCTGAATGTAAGTCATGAAACCATAAAACTCTTAGAAGACAACACAGGCAAAAATCTCTTGAATATAAACATAAGCAACATTTTTGTGAACACATCTCGTTGGGCAAAGGAGACAAAAGCAAAACTGAACAAATGGGACTACATCAAACTAAAAAGCTTCTGTACAGCAAAGGACATCATCAGAACAAAAAGGCATCCTACAGTATGGGAGAATATATTCAAAAATGAGATATCCAACAAGGGGTTAAAATCCAAAATATATAAAGAACTCACATGCCTCAACACCCTAAAGCAAATAACCTGATTAAAAAATCTGAACAGACACTTGTCCAAAGAAGAAATTCAAATGGCCATCAGGCACATGAAAAGATGCTCCACACCGCTAATTATCATGGAAATGCAAATTAAAACCGCGATGAGATATCACCTCACACCAGTGAGGATCACCACCATCCAAAAGACAAGGAACAACAAATGCTGGCGAGGATGTGGAGAAAGGGGAACCCTCCTACACTGCTGGTGGGAATGTAAATTAGTTCAACCATTGTGGAAAGCATTATAGAGGTTTCTCAAAAAAATAAAAATAGAAATACCATTTGACCCAGGACTTCCACTTTTAGGAATTTACCCAAAGAAAGCAAGATCTCAGATTCAAAAAGACATATGCACCCCTATGTTTATTGCAGCACTATTTACAATAGCCAAGATATGGAAGCAACCTAAGTGTCCATCAGTAGATGAATGGATAAAGAAGATGTAGTCCATATACACAATGGAATATTATTCAGCCATAAGAAGAAAACAAATCCTACCATTTGCAACAACATGGATGGAGCTAGAGGGGATTATGCTCAGTGAAATAAGTCAGGTGGAGAAAGACAACTACCAAATGATTTCCCTCATTTGTGGAGTATAACAACAAAGCAGAATTGAAGGAACAAAACAGCAGCAGACTCACAGACTCCAAAAAGGGACTAGCAGGTACCAAAGGGAAAGGGTTGGAGAGGATAGGTTGGGGGGCAGAGAGAAGGGGATTAAGGAACATTATGATTAGCACTCACAATATAGTTAGATCACAGAGAAGGCCTAGAGAAGACAAGTAATGACTATATAGCATCTTACTACACTGATGGACAGTGATTGCAACTGGGTGTGGGGGGGGGTCATGATAATATGGGTGAATGTTGAAACCACATGTTGCTCATGTGAAACCTTCATAAGATTATATATCAATGATACCTTAAAAAAAATGAGTGGTTACTGATTTTCCACAAAATACAAACTTTTTCATGTGGAGTTTAAGAGACTACTTTCATGGACCTCCTAAAGAAATAAAGGTGTATATGACATTCAGCTTCAAAAGGAAAAGACCTGGCTGGATACAGATTAAAACTCCCTTTCAGTAAATTTTCAGTAAATACAGTGATCACCAATTACAAAATTGAATATTGAACCCAAAGGCATGCTTATCCACTGGAAAGATTCTGAATATATCAGGTTTGATTTCGCACACTCTCATGCCAACCCATCCACCCGTATCAAGAACAGAGTAATTTGACAAAAATGGCAAAATAAAACTCATTGAGCCTTTCATTTATTTTTCAGAAAACTAAATAAGCCAAAGAAAATCTCCAGTATGTATCCCCCTTCCTCTCCTATTTCACTAAGGAAGAGTACAGACACCCAGTCAATTCTATTCACATGCTCTTACTTAATTCTGCTTAAAGAGATCATACATGTAACACACTATGTTAACTACCATTATTACTATTATATTACACTGCACTTACTGTTATTTTCATTGGTTCACCACGACCAAACTCCTGTAGAAATACAAGGAGACAGGCTTCATAGCCTGACGGACCCTTCACTGGATCTGGCTCTACCAGTTACCAGCTTGTCTAACTGTGGGATAAATTACAGAACTCTGAGCCTCAATTTCTTCATGAGTGATAAAATGAGGTTAACACCCCCTAACCTGAAGGGTTGTTAAGATAAATGGGATAACCCCATAAAAGTGCCCACCAGAGGCTCTAGCAAAAGGTTATGAACTCCCTAAGCCATACCTCTTATATGTATGTCTTTGTCTTCTCTTCATGGAAAATTGCAATTTAATTCCAGCCAGCCTTACTTCATTCATTATCCCTAAAAACATTTTTTTTTAATCACATTTGCCACCTACCATTTTACTTGTTTTCTTTCTATTCACACTTCCAAAACATCAGGCAACAAAATGAAAGTGTATTAAACAAATGGATGAGAAAAATAAAGAGGTAAAATGGCACACAGACTCCCAACCCTGATAATCTGATCAGGACTAATGGTCCTAGGAACATCCTCTCAATGATGTCATGACTTCAAAATACTGATGGACTGAGGCAGTGCCATGTGCTATAAATACCCCGATTTAGAAGTCAGGAGAGTCCCACCAACTCACACTATGATTCTAGACAAATCTCTTTGGGCCCTAGTTTCCCCAGTGAGATGATAGAAAAGACAACACGTAATGCCTCTTTCCTCTTTAATATTCAGTAGTTTCTGGTTGTTCTTACCAAATGCAGAAAGTGATTATTTGAAGAAATGGAGGACAACATGAATCCAAAAGGAACATGTAAAAGCGTTCTGTCATTAATGATGAGTAGTTAACATTTTTTAAATAATAGGTGTCTTCTGCTATTGAACTACAAAGGAACTTTACACAATCTATTTCTAAAAAGGGAATCGCAATGACACTGCCTCGCAGCAGCACAGATACCGCACTCTAGAATAAGAAGTACTAAGCTGGCAATTCAGAAAACAAGTTTCTGGTTCCACTCTGTCACTTAACTGTCTTACCCTGTCCAATCATTCAGGATCACCCTTTCCTAGTCTCTAGAATGGTTCTGTTAATTCACAGTTTATTAATACAGATGAAAGGACAATCAAGAAAACCACTACAAAGTAATCAGTATAGTTGAAATACTAAGATTCTAGTCTCTCCTGATCTGATCCAATCCATGTTCCTGGTAATAATTACAATTCTATCTATCCCTTCCATTTTGCTATAGTCATACACAATTTAATTATTTTCTTCTGTAATAAAGTAAAAATGTGGATATATATATATTCAAAGTCTTTATTTTGAAACCATACATGATTAAGTCTATGAATGTTTACTTAGTCATTTCCTACGTGTGTATTTCTCTGTAGGTAAAGAATTGTAAGGCCTTGAAAACAGATTCAGAATTGTTGTACTTACAATGAAGTGACTGTATATGCTGAAGTCCTATACATCTCATTTCTTTGAAGAAATAAGCAAGAAATTCTTACTGGCAAATACCATTGCCAGTTAGTGTACATTATGTATGACAGAATTTTTTATTGCACAAGTGCTCTCCTGGATAAAATGGGTTGCATTCTAAAAGTTTACTTGTACTTTAAGTGTTTGAATTTATGCACCAAATAAACCTTGTTACAAAGAGGGCTTAGATTGTCAAGTATTTTTTAAAACATAGTGATAGAAAAGAATAACTTTCTTATTAACTTTTTTAAATGTAATTATATAGGTGGGAGAAGATATAGTT